GCATAATCAATAAAGCACAGGTATACATCTGTCTGGTATTGGCTGCTTCCAGCCAAGATCCATCTGGCATTAGTAATGGTATCCCTCATTCGTTCCATGTCCTTTTCTGAATCCGGCTTGAACTTCTGGTAGTTGTCTTTCAATGTATAGTTGCAGCTGTTTTGGAATAATCTCTAACAAAATTTAACTTGCATGTGATATTAATGATATTGACTGAGGATCTACACATTCTGTTGCATTACCTCTCATAGTAATGGGCACAAATATATATCTCTTCCAACCAGCATGCCAGGTAGTTGTCTTCCAAATTTCTGGGCATAGATGAGTGACTGCCTCTAGTGCCACATCAGTTTGTTGAAAAATTTCAATTTGTTTTCCACCAATTCCTAGAGGCTTGTTCTTTGCCAATGCCTTCAATGCACCTTTGACTTCTTCCTTCAGTATCATTGGCACTTGATCATATGTTATCTCTTGAAATGTTTAAACATCGACTATTTATTTTTGGTATAGTGACTCTGTATTCCTTCCATCTTCTGCTAATGTTTTCTGCATAATTCAATATTTTTTCCCACAGTGGTGGCGGTGGTGGTGGTGTGCTGTGAAGTCATCGATTCCGACTCATAGCGACTCTGCATAGAGTCCCTGAGGCTGTAAGTCTTTACGGGAGCAGATAGCCACATCTGTCTCCTGTGGAACACCTGGGAGCTTTGAACTGCTGACCATGAGATTAGCAGCTTTACTAGTAACCACTATGCTTCAATACTGCAAGTCGATGCTTGAATTTTCTGTTTAGTTCCCCCACCTGAGAAATGCCGAACATGTTCTTCCCTTTTGTTTTTCTAACTTCAGGTATTTTCACATTTTGTTGTAATATTTGACTTTGTCTTCTCAAGCTGTGCTTTGAAATGTCCTATTCAGCTCTTTTACCTCCTTACTTCTTCATTTACTTTAGCATCTCTACACAGCAGTGCAAGTTTCAGAGTCTCTCCTGACATTCATTTTGATCTTTTCCTTCTTTCTTGTCTTCTTAATGACCTTTTGCTTTCTTCCTGTATGACAGTCTTGATGTCATCCCACAACTCTTCTGGTCTTTGGTCTTTAGCATTTATTATATCAAATCTATTTTTCAGATGATCTCTAAATACAGGTGGGATATATTCAAGGTCATATTTTGGTTCTTGTGGACTTGTTTTCATTTTCTTCAGCTTCAGCCTGAATTTGCACATGAGCAATTGATGGTTTGCCTTGTCTTGACTGATTATATGGAACTTTTCTATCATCTCTTTCCACAGATTTAGTCAATTTGATTTCTGTGTATCCCATCTGGTAAGGTCCATGTGTTGCTTTAAAAAGGTATTTGCAATGACCAAGTCATTGGTTTTGCAAAAGCCTATCATGTTATCTCCAGCATAGTTTTTATCACCAAGGACTTATTTTCCAGCTACTGATCCTTCTTCTTTGTTTCCCATCCTTGCTTTTCAATTGCCAATAATTATAAATACATCTTGATTCTATGTTTGATGAATTTCAGACTGAAGAAGTTGGTAGAATTCTTCAATTTCTTCATCATTAACTTTAGTGATTTTTGTGTAAATTTGATGGTTTTCCTTATATGTGTATGGGTATTATCCTATTCCAGACAGCATTAGACTTCAAGACAGATTTTTTGATATTTTTGTTTTTATTATTAACGTGACAGCATTCCTCTTCAATTGTCATTCCTGGCATAGTAAACTATGTGATTGTCAGATTCAAAATAGCCACAACTTCATCTCATTAAGGCCTAGGATATCAATGTTTATGTATTCCATTTCATTTTTGACTATTTCCAATTTTCCTAAATTCATATTTCATACTTTCCATGTTCTGATTATTAACGGATGTTTATAGTTGTGTCTCTTCATTTTGACTTTTGCCCCATCAGTAAATGAAGGTCCCCAAATGGTTTAGTTCCTTCACATCATCATGGTCAACTCTGCTTTGAGGAGGCAGCTCTTCCCCAGTTGTATTTTAAGTGCCTTTCAACCTGTAGGAGCTCATTGTTTGGCACCATATCATCATGTTTCAATATTCAATATACTGGTGCTGACATTTACACTGCTATTCAAAGATTTTCAGTGCCTAAATATCTGGACATAATCCGTCTCTCCATCCTAGTCTGTCTTTGTCTGGAAGCTCAGCTGAAATGTGTCCACTGTGGGTGGCAATGCTGGTATTTAAGATACTTATGGTATAGTTTCCAGAATCACAGCAATACACAAGTCACCACAGTATGACAAACTGACAGGTGAATAGTGGTGAGGCCATTTAGGGTAGGCCAAACAAGTACTGCCAGAACTACCAGAGGACCTCTATCTAGAAACATGAAAGGGCTCTGGGCATCTAATCATATATGGTCAGTTCCTGACACACATTCATGTCATGAAGTTTCCTCCATCACAAGTAATGGTCACTGCTCTTATATAGGCTTAGAACCATAGCAGTATATACAGGCTAGTTTCCCAAGGAAAGACATGAATGCACCCACACTATCTTCCAAATATTAGGTACCGATTCCATATTTTGGCAGGGACAAAATGACCAGTAAATGCCAATAAAAAAAAAATCCTTGCTATTAAATAAAAGCTAAAGTTCTGTGTCTTCCATTCATTTAGAATTTCTAAGAGTCAATAGCAACAATTATGGATACTTGCTGGGTGTGCTAAAATTGATTATTTTACATTTAAATATAGAAAAGATGATATAGGGTTGTCAATACAATTTGCATGCTAATTAACTGCATAAATTATGAAATTATGAATTAGATATCTGTTGTGATAAAATTTATTTGAGACCATAGGGGCACTTCTTCTGGTCTTAAACTATATATAAAATACATTTCTGAAAATAGCAAGTAAAAACACACACTTAAAATAGAATTTATGTCATAGTGACGATTCATCAGTGGCAGAACCTACCAACTCGATATTGCACATTTATTGGTCTTCCATATAAACGGATCCCATTCAGCAAAGCTATGGCATAAGATACTGATTCTGGGTGTTTAAAGCAGACAAATCCAAAAGACTTCGGCTTCCCCTCTCTGTCTTTGCATATAGTCACTTTGGTTAATGGTCCAGCCTATAAGAAACTTAAACATTATCTTCTCATAAATCCAAAGATTTTTTTATAAGAAAAATTCAACTTTAGATTTCAAAAAAAAGTCTGTTAGCAATGTTCTTATGCATCTGTACTAATAGTTCATTTTCTTAACAATAAAACTAACATCCCCTTATGTTTTCTTGGTATTTTCTGACTCATCAAAGAAACATATCTAGTGTTAAGAATACAAAATGATAGGTAATATTGGCAAATTCTAAAAGGTAAGAAAGATTACTATTCTTTTTATCTTAACAAAACTAGCTAGAAAGTAAATAAATCTAAGATTAAAATAATTTGCCTCTGTATATATTAACAGTCTAAGGAGCTCTCATAGCATAGTGGTTGCGAATCGGGCTGTGAACTGCAAGGTCAGCAGTTCAAAAATACCAGCTGTTCCATGGGAGAAAGATGAGGTGTTCTGCTCCTGTAAAAATTTACAGCCTCGGAAACCCTGTATAGGGTTGCTATGAGTCAGAAACAACTCCACGGCACACAGTCACCATACTAACAGTCTATAACTACAAAATTAAATGGAAATGAGAGATCAATATTGGCTGAACTATCAGCAAAAGACCTTACAATATATTTTAATGTTTTTCTGTCATGAAGATTAAAAATATGTACAAGAGAAAGTAAGTTTATAATGTCCTTTGATCTTGTACAAAAAAACAAACTGTTTTAATATGTTCAAGAAGTTTAAGTAGGTGTATTATTTACAAGAATGGAAAATAACAAAGGCTCCAAATCCAACAACTGAGAATGTTATCCCATGGCATATTATTAAAATAAAATAAAATACTCCTAACAGAATCTTGGAATGGTGCTGTGGGTTAATGAGCTGGACTGCAAGGCCAGTTTGAACCGCGAAGTTGGTGATTCAGGATTACCAGCCAATCCCCAGAAACCCTATGAGGGTCCCTGAGTTAGAACTGACTAATGGCATTTAAGGGCAACAACAAAACCTACAAACATTTTGGTGGCATTGATGAAAAGGCCTCTGAATAAGTCATAAAAAGTAAAAAGCATAGCACAAAAATTGTAGAAACATGTTAATGACAACTAAGAAAAAATTTATATCCTCACTTTGATAAAGATTAGAGGAAGTGGAGTTTTACAGAGACATGAGATTTAATGTTGAATGGTTCATAATTATTAATTTTACCTTAATGATAATTTTTCTATTAGACTTGGATAACTATGGTGGTGGTGATGTGCCACTGAGTCAGTAATGACTCACAGCATTTCAGTATAGGGTTTCCGTGGCTATAAATCTTTACTGGAGCAGAAAGTCTCATCTTTCTCCCATGAGGCTACTAACAGATTCTAACTACTGACCTTGCAGTTAGCAACTCAGTTTGTAATTGACTATGCTACCAGGGCTCCTTTGAATAACTATGTAAGTTTTTAATCTAAAAAAAAACATGCTAATTGTCATCTGTAAAATAATGTACCCTAAAATCCATTTTCTTTTCATTCACTTTTTTCATGTTTTCCAAAGCTTATCTTTTCTTCTAGGTACAACCATTAGCTTAGCAAATCTATTTTTCCCCCACTAATGCCTCTTGGTGTGTCTCTGTATGATCAGCTGGACTGCAAACCATAAAGTCAGCAGTTCAAGCCCACCAGCTGCTTGTCAGAAACTATATACAAGGTCGCTATAAGTCAAAACCAATTCCACAGAAATTAACAATGCCTCTTTCATGGGGGCCACCTCCTAGAGACTTCTGTGTGATTATGCTTCAAATTCAACATACAGGCATACCTATATTTCAAGTTCACTTCCAGACCACCACAATAAAATGATTATCACGATAAAACGAGTCATACAAATTTTTGTTTTCCAGTGCAAATGAGTTGGAAATGATTTGATAGCTGTGGGTTGATGCGTATTTAAGTTATGTTTATACTATACTGCAGCTTATTAAATGTGAAATATGTAATATAATTATTAAAAAGTTTGAAATATTACAAGAATTATCAAAATCTGACACAGAAACATGAAGTGAGCATATACATACTATGGAAAAATGGTGCTGACACACTTGTTTGATGAAAGGTTGTCAGAAGGCTTCAATTTGTAAAAAAAAATTTAGTGTCTGAGAAGCACAATACAGTAAAGAAAGCACAATAAAATGAGGTTTGTCTGTATTTGAAATGAAATTCATTATCTTTCCCCTCTAAATTCCTACTCCAGTATTTCTTATTATAGGTGAAAAGTGTTGTTAGTGCTTGACAAGTGGGCTCTGCATCATCGTGACCATATGTGTAACAGGAAATTTTAAAGCCAGCCATAACTCAACTGTCAGTTTGTTGTATTATGGAAACTTGTGTGTTGCTATGATTCAGGAAGCTATGCCACTGGTATTTTAAATACCAGCAAGTTCACCCATGGTAGACAGGTTTCAGCTGAGCTCCAGATGAAGACAAACTAGGAAGGAGAGGCAGACTACTTCCGAACATGCAGGCACTGAAAACCTTATAAATAGCAGTATAACACTATCAGGTATAGAACACAGAATACTGAAACATAATGAAGAACACCAGACTATCATCAGATACAGTGCCAGAAGACAAGCCCTTCAGGTTGCAAGGCACTGAAAATACAACTGGGGAAGAGATGTCTACTCAAGTAGAGTTGATCGTGATGACTTGAATTCATTTGAAATAATTAACATAGGGGTGTTTTATTTAGAGACAAAGATATCATATTCCATACCAGTTACTTTCAATTTCACTACGGATCATGGTGACTCTGTATGTCAGAGTAGCACTGTGCTCCCTAGGGTTTTTGAATGGCTGATTGTGTTTTGGGAAGTGGTTCTCCAGACCTGTCTTCTGAGGTACCTTTGGGTGAACTCAAATTGCCAACTTTTCAGTTAGTAACCAGATCTTTAACCTTTTGAACTACCCAGGGACACCAGAAACAGGAGCTTTCAAAACAATAAACAATCCCCTTCCCCCTGGTAAACTTATACTTGTTAAGTGCCATCGAATTGGTTCTGACTCATAGAGACCCTATGTGCACCAAAACAAAACACTGTCTTGTTCCTGCACCTTCCTTATGCCTCATTATTCAACAATACCAATTTCTCTTATCAAACCCATCACCCACTGCCATTGAGTGAATTTCAACTAATAGCCACCCTACAGGAAAGGGGAGAACTGTCCCCTTACAGTCGTCCCTTATCCTGATAGGGAACAGTCTCTCATAATTGATTTTTCTTGATGTTAGTGTTAGAAGGAATACACGTAAGTCAAA